ATCAAGGTACTTTAATCGCAAGTGAGGAATGAGCTCATCTCCCCAAAGAAACAATGCAAGTATATCTTATCCATACAATATTCACTAAAGAGCGAAACAAATTCGGATACACAAGGATATATATGGTGCACAAAAGGTGATGTCATTAGAAACTTGTTGCTGGAACTTTCAACTTGGGTCGAATGAAAAAGAGTATATATCATACGTCAAGCTTTTTATTAACTAAAAACATCAGAATACATAATTATTCTTGCAATAATACTTGCATTCTCTCTTGCACGTATTTTGACCGTACAAATTTTATACTCGAGAACTAGTTAGTTTCTTAAACTTCATTTGAAGATCACCTCTACAAAAATCATTTTAATCATAGATCATTTAGTTATTCATATGTATAGAACAAATCAACCGTGTAGGTACCAAGTAACATATTCATGATGAGCCGTTTATTTATTTGATGCATTTGAATGATTAAATGATCTCTAATTTGAATGATTTTTTTGTAGGAGTGATCTTCAATGAAAATTAAAAAAAATTAAATAGTTTCGATTCTCAAATAGGAGGATATGTGCATTCTCACATAGAGGATGCAAGTATTATCCTTATTATTGTCCTTAATTTCTGTCATTTTGCTAGTGATTTTCCTCTTCTTTTTGAATGCTTTTTTTTTTTTTGTTGGGATAATTGAACTATGTTTTTGTTTCTGCACAGGTGGGAGTTGAAGATGCCTTGATAAACTACACCTGGAAGATGACGATCCCAGAGAAGGTGGAGATGGAGAAGTCCGTGATGAGTATGCACGGCCGTGATTGGATGATGAATGTAGGCCCACCATCCCCATGTTGCACTAGTTCAAGAAGTACTGCTACTACTTCTAGACCACCCCTCAAGACCCTTCAACTCTTCCCTACCACTGCAACTAATCTCAAAGAAGAATCCACGCCCTCCTACAATGCTCCCTCTTCCTCTACCCCCACAGAAAATTACTAAAAACCCTACTACTACTATCTCCTACTACTGCATCTCTCTCTCTCTCTCTCTCTCTCTCTCTCTCTCTCTCTCTCTCTCTCACTTGTTGGGTGTCTACGTTTCTGCTATGTGTTTTCTGGGTTCTTCTTCTGTGATGTGAAAGATCTCAATTGTCCAATGAGTAGTAATCGGGTTCTGGGTCCTATAGTATTTTAACCTCTCAACTCAAACAACCTACTACTATTTATTTGCACGACAGTACAATATTGCATGCAGCGTTGTATTTCTTTGTTTTCAAGTTCAGTTTGTCCGTTGTGTAGCTTAAAGCTGACATATTGCACACCCAGACTTGAACTGATCACTACATGTATATCTAGTCATGTAGAAGTCAGCTTTTTATCAGTGTTACTTGGTCTTGGACCTTTCGAACAAGTCAATGCAACACATTCTGTCTGTTATATGCTTGAATTTCGCCAGGATTTTTTTCATTTTCTAACCTTTTTTTTTCTTGTTTCTAATCTGGGGATAGGCAAAATATTGTATAAGAGGAAATAATATTTCTTTGGTTAATTAAACCAAACTGCGGATTAGCTGAGGACTTTTAGCCAATTTTTTACTTAAAAGGAATTTTAACCATTTTATAATATATGGTCCAATATCCTAGTGGATAGGGTGTTGAATTTCTACGAGTGCATCTTGGGTAAAACTCATTCCTCTCCTCAATTATTGTACTAGTTTTGAACCCTCCCTTTCTTTTAATAATTTTTTTTTAAAGGGAATTTTTAACCATTCGAGGGGATTCAAACATATTCTAAAGGTATTTTACCACTATTCAAGGGAGTCTCGAGTGACTATATCTTTAAATTTTAAAAAGAAAATGGCTAAAAATTGAATGAGCTAAAAAAGTGGCTAGTTGCTAATTAATACTAGTGATATTTCTCTTCACTTGTAAGTGAGAGGTCTTAGGTACAATTCTCACCAAAGGTGAATTTGAACCACATTATTGCTAGCCCATTGTGAGACTTAGCAACTTAACCCATTCCCCCACTCCTTTAGTGTGAATAATATCATTTGTTCAAAAAAAAAAAAAAAAAAAAAGAAGCCAAGTTCTCCTATGTCCCTTGTAATGATCTCATCAAATTATAATGTCATAACTCATAAGTCAAACAATTTTTCACACTTTCTTCTTTAACTCAAACTCAACATTTGAATTTTTTTTTTTTTGTCAAACAAGATAACTTCCATTAAAAACTAGTACACGGCCCAAAAAGAGTCAGGTAAACAACAACAGATAAAGTAAAAGGCCCAAAAAGAGTCATGTAAACAACAATAGACAACAAAAAAACCCTAATCTCAAACAGCATAATTAAACCAGACTACTGCCACCGTCACGTCTTTGGAGGAAGCCAAACTTTGAACCGAGAAAGTAGACATCAGATCTAAGTTCCTTCACAAACCCTTGCAAATATATACAAAGAAAGTATCTAATAGTCAAAAGTGAGACTAAGGGGGTACATAAAATACCCTTACTATGGTGGAGGCCACAAAACAATTTGGCTTCGATAAGGACCCGATATGCGGGTTGGGGAGGGGAAGTGAGGTAGGGAAGTGGATCTAACATCCAATTTTTGATCTGAGCCTACCGATTGGAGCACATGATGAGGTGGGAATGAAATATCACGGCTAAGGAAAAGTAAGTGGCAGGAAACAGTAAAAGTAGGCAAAAAACACTAGATAAGAAGCATGAAGTCCAAATTTGAGACAAACTTAGGGGATAATTGATACCAAACTCAAAGAAAAATGACATATCTTAGGGGAGGACTGAAATAGAAAAGGAAGGAAGAAAATTGGAAAGGGGAAAGGAAGATGAGGTGGATGCTCTGAGGGGAAGGGGCAAAGGAGATGAGAGGGGAGGAAAAGAGGGAAAGGGCAAAGGATAAGAGAAGGAAAGAGGAGATAAAGGAGGAAGTAGTGGGTTATCACCTATCATGAGCAATAGCAAGGGGTGGCGGTTGAAACTTTGAAACTAGGGTTGGGTTTATTTTGGATCTAGGTTTTGAAGCTCATAAAGAGAAATATAGAGGCTTTTTTTCTTCAGCTCTTTGCCACAACCTTCTTGTCGTATAATCCCAACATTTGTTATTTGGAGAATTTCAAATATAGGTAAATCATGGGAAACTTAGATTTTGGTTGGGACTTCCTCATAAGTGTTTTTCTTAGATGCCAATAGAAAAAGGTTGTACATTTTAAATAAAAAAACCAAGTGCCTTCCAGAAAAGCAACCGACACTACTTGTAGAAACATCTAGTTGGTGCTACTCCAATACGTTTAGAATCCTTTTAAGTTTTCAGTCAAACATTGTCTGATATGTTTTTAATTGGCCAAAAAGATTGTAGCTCTTTTATAGAAGCATTCTCAAAAAGACTTTTGCTACTTGCTACTATATGATCATATCTTGGGCTACCTGTTATAGACATGTTACGTATTGGCTTCATATTATTCATATAGGAAATGAACCCAATTAATAAAAGTACATATTGGCTTTCAAATTAAGTAATATTTTTTTGTGGATAACCATAAAATTAAAATTATTTACAACGAATATGTAGTGTATATATTTGGTATTTGCCACACATATTTCTCTTGAATATGTACCATTTATTTAGCTATAGGGTTAAAATTTCAGATGTGCTCTTAACCCACTACTAACCATACCAATACTTACATAGGACAGTAAATTCACTCAATAAATCATATTTAATTTTGTCAATTTTCTTCAACATAGTGCTCACCATAGTGTGTGCGTATATATAGATGTATGTACGTAGTTGAATCAATGAAATTTTTTTTTCCAATCATAAGCTAGGTCAAGCGTTGGATTAGCTCCATCGTAAAATAAAAATTCTAATGATGGTAAGTGATCTTAGATAAATATATATTCGATGTCACATGAAAAGTATTGTCACCAGAGTAATGTGAATCCCACACCAATCGTTGGAAGTTAGGTTACGATAATGTTCCAATATTGGTGTTTCAGACAAGAAAACAACATACTATAATGCAGTTCAAACTTCAAACAAGGGCGCCTTTACTGGAATGGACCAAACAACTCTACAAAATTGACATGTCTAATGCCCTGAACGACAAAATAGACGGTGCAAAAAGACATTTATGATTTATGTGATGCATGGAATGGCTCCAAACTATCACTATAGAAGAAGTGACTATTGGGTCCGCTCAACTAGAGGCAAATGGAAGGATTCACCCCTATTAATAAGCTATGTTTGCGGTCAAATATTTTAGTGGATAGGTTGTTGGATTTCTATCTATGCATGCGGGGTTTCGAACTCCTTCACAAATTGTTGTAATAGTTTCGAACTCTTCCTCTCTCTTTAATAGTAATAAAAAATAAAAAAATAAAAAGCTATTATATGCGAAAATATTGTTTGACCCTATTAATTCTATTAACCAGCTCTTCAATATGAGATCAATTTGTAGCTGTAAATTTCATTAAGTAGTAGGGGAACCAACCGCCCCTAATATTTTTTATTTATTATTTTTTACATTTGACCCTATTGTGAAGCGTATTGCACTTATTGTGTATGTAGATAATATGGTGATAAAAGAAAATGATCTGCAAGAATGTGTAGCCTTGCAAAGATACATATCTACCGAATTTGAGATGGAAGACCTTGGATTCTTGTAATATTTTTTAGGGATTGAGGTATCGAGAAGCGGTTCTAGAATTTTCTCGTCTCATAGGAAGTATATTATTGATTTTTTGCATAAAACTAACATGTCAACTTGTCTGCCAATAGCTACACCACTAGAGGAAGAATTGAAGTTTAGTGCTGATCATAATCAAGTACCAATTGACAAAGGAGGATGTCACATATCAGTAGGTCGTATAATGTACTTGACACGCATAAGCCCTGACCTTGCCTATGCCTTGAGTGTGCCCATTAAACATGTAAATTAATTATATGGGTAATATAATGGATATTTATCCTTGATTGATGGGCATGGGTTGCTCCAAACCCATTTATTAGCTGTTAAAAGATAGCTAACATTAGTTGAGCAAACTAAGATTTGGGAGATAACTCCCCAACGAATATGATTACAGAGGACTGAAAATTGAAACAAAAATTCTAAGGTACTCAAAGCGAGGACCAAAACGAAATTTTTGTCCACTATTGTATTTATGTGAGTATATATTTTCCTTTCCTTCTGAATGTACAATGGTTGATGAGAAGAAGAGGAGTATGTAAATGAAAGAAAAAGAAAAAGAGAAGTATTTGTACAGAAAGGACTGCATCTGCACTGTGGAAAGCTCTTCTAGAAGTTCTCCTTGTGGAAGACGAACCGAGTTGCTGAGTTTAGACTAAATTCTAGGCAGAGCTCCCTGAGTGTTTTGGTAAGTGTTGGACTTCCACAATAGAAGACACCTGCAACAAACAAGAGACCCGAAACCGTAAGTCTTACTTTTAGAATGTTCAAAACTTTGTAGTAGCTTGAAGACTTCATAACTGTTATGGATAAAAACATAGGAGAGCTTCATCAGAATTAGGCTCACCTATTCGGGAGGATTCATGTGCAGTAGCCAAGTCGGAAAACACCTTTCTCCAATTAGGCCTTGCAAAATGAGTTCTTATCTGTCACAGTTACATTACAGAATTAGTACTAAAACTCCACTATCAATGCTTTGTGTGTGACAATTTTTCGAAGTTTAATACCTGGCTTTCTGATACGACGTCAACTCCATTCTTAGCATGTTGCAGTTTCTGCACCATGGCAATAAGAGCAGACCTCGCATCTCCTTCTTCATACACGCTGGTCAAGTAGTTGTGCATTTCTATCATATGCTGCAACATTTGGTTCATGTTAAAGAAAACAATGAAAAAAAAAGTGATGCAGCTAGGGTTCGTTTTATCTGACTTTTAATTTGAATAAACTCACATAGTGATCGCATTCTGCAATGTCATCCATGACACCTTTAAACCATTCAAAGGAAGCTTGCTCCCTTGTCACCCAATAAAAGTATGCTCTTTTTGGACCCTTTTTATATGCCTCCCTTTGCATGTTGTTTGATTTGGTTTCCGCGGATGTTTCTTGATGCTCATTTGTCGAATCCTGCATAAGGTAACTACTTTGAATTGTTAGTTATCGTTCACTTAAGATTCCCGATAAAACTTGTTTTTTTTTTTTTTTCTCTACTTTGACTCACAGGATTATAAGCCAAGTTGAGATTTATTCGGTTTATGATATCCTTTATGATGCTGACGAAGGGAGTTGCTCCAATTCCCAGACCTATGAGCAATAAGATGTCAAACTTTATGTAATTTTGAGCCGGTGCACCATATGGTCCCTTTATGACGATCTTCGGATATCTGCCATAAAAATAAAAAATGAATAGCAGTTACTGATTTTCGCTTTCAGTTTGACTCATAATGAGCAACATTTTGTTCAAGCTAAGATTCTGCGCACCCTTCTATTTCATGACCGTAGTTTGAATGTGCTTTTGTTTCTATTCTAACGAGATTTCCCTTTCTAGTTTGTGTACTTTGAAGCTGGCTGCACGCCTGCATATATTTGAAGAAGTATGCAGCAGAGATTAAAGAATTCAACATTTGTTTAAAAGAAATGGTCAGTTTTCCAAATTTCTTCGTGATTGATTAAGTAGCCTAAGCGAAAAATTAATGAGTAGGCTCAGATCTAGAACTGTTAGATAGTAGGATGTTGATATATAGATTATAACACAAGTATTATTATTTAGGCTCATTAATAATACTAATACAAGTACATTACCTTTTCGAATCTTTCTCTAAGCTCCGTAGTCCAGTCTCCCAAGCTTCGTATGTGGACGCTCAAGTAGTCATCTCCTGGGGCAGAAGTGATGGTGAAGGGATGCCTGTAGTGAACGAAGTGTTTAATTTGTGTAGAGATATTATGATTTCGGATCATGATAGCAACTATGTAATTTTTGTTACCATTCAAAACCTGATATATCAGGGCACTTAAGAAAGAGGTACATTCCACTTTTATACTTGAATCCATGAGGTTTGCTCATGTACAGAGCCAGAACATTTCCCGTATATATTACCGCCTGAAATATCCAACAAGCGTGATGAATCAAATCAAGTTTCTGAGATATTTCAGTGAATGGTAAAAGTTTCGAGCACTGACCTTAATGACATGGACAGGGAGATTAATTTCTTTTATGATTATAATAGAACGCTCAATTGCATACAACATTACTGGAACAAGGATATACATCCATGTCTGCAAGAAACAAACGATGCAAATTGTTTCAGCAGGATGAATTTGAATCTTGGATTCGCAATAAAACTTTGCGAACTTGTTGTCCATGTGCAATCCAGTAGTTTAGTGACTATAGCGATTTAGAGAATATGAAACTCTTTAAGTAGCATACATACCGTCTTCTTGTGCCAGTCGCTCGTGAAAATTAGGAAGTAACCATGCATGACAAAGAGCATATACACCAACACAAGCAAATGATGTGCATACCAGAAAGAATTGAACCCTGACAATTTGTTGAGTGGCCACGGTAAGTTGACATTTTTTCTCATTACATTTAATGCCAGTGTGAACGAAAACATCATCAGAACCGTCATGAGAATCCCGGTTATTCCTGGAATACTATTAACCAAGTCCATGTAAGTTGGCTGCTTATAATTGAAATATGTCCCAGCAACATCCATGAACTCATCTTCCCGGGATGTTATCAATCTTGGGAAATCACAAGTTATGTGTAAACCTGCATGTAGAGAAGTCGAAATTACAATTCCCAGTGCAATCAACTTATGGAATTTGATATTTTCATCAAAAGGGATTAGGTTGCTGAGAAATGATGACCGAATTGCGGTAAGAGTTCCCCTACAAACTGGAATGAGAATGAGAGCCATATTGAACTTGAGAGTCTCAGCAGAGCCCTTTGCAATGCAGAGGCATGTACCCATGAGTTTGTATAATCCATGCTTCTGGTATTGGCGGTATTTCCAAGTAAAGAGGCCTATGTTGATAGCTAACCACAATGTCACAATCCATATTTTCTTCCAGTTTTCTTGCACAAGTTCTGCAGTTGTAGATAGGAATTTGCTAATGGGAGTTCTGTAACTTCTGGGAATCATGGATTTCGTGAGGGATTGGGTTCTCTTTCCGATTTTTTGGTTATCTTCGGACACTGCCATTCCCCTCAGTAGGGTTTCCAACTGCCACATCTGTATTAAAACTAGGATGTAAGAAGTCGCTGAAAGTGAGAAACTAACTCTAATTAATGCTATCAAGAATGTACATATATCTTCACCTCTATATATCCCAGGTGGTCAGGGTCAATCTCTTCCATGATCAAAGCTGCGTATGATTTTGCTTGCATTTTAAGATTTGCCAGCTTGTTCGCGGAGGCACTCAAAACTATAACCTTTTCCATAAGAAATTTTAGAAATCCGATTCACAAACATATGGAAAAAAAAAAAAAAAAAGGGAGAACGAACATGTCCATCCTCACCTCTGCTACCTCATCCTCGGAGAGCTTCCCATCACCATTCTTGTCACATCTAACACATCATCAAATTCATTCATCTAGTTTGTGTTTAATAATGTTAAATTAAACATCGAGAGTTTTTCCTTACATGTCGAAGAATATCTGAAGTCTTGCTTCCATGTCTTCATTAGTTATGTCTTCCCAAAACAACCTTAATTCTTCAAGAGTTATCCCACCTTTCTCGCATATTATCCTTCTCCTAGCCAATGCATCAAACAATTCGCCTGCAAATTCCTTCGATTCTCCTCCCATCCCTATGAAACGAAAGCTTCTAAAATCTCACATACATTGTGTTCCACGTTCCATTTCAAAATGCTTACAACTTACAAAAGGGTAATAAAGCAAACGAGTACTTACCAATGCAGGCTCCAAATTTGTCCCTAGAGAGCCTACCAGCGACCGCGTATTGATTAAACCGCTTCTCAACCTGCTTCCATGCATCCACTTCTTTTCCTGTGGCTGTCCTATCGAGAAAACGCAAGCTCTTAATCCCTTGTTTCCCTCCTGGTTCCGCCCTACATCCCACGCTGCCATGATTGTTTCCCTGAACCCCATTTCTCTTCCTTACACTGCTGTTGTTCCGCTTCAATGTTGCATCGTTGGAACTCTTGGTCACATTGCCTTCTGTGTCATTGTTACTTAAGGGAATATCCACCATGGGGTCAATATCAATAGTTTCAAGCTTCCATTGGTTGGGATCTTTCTGGTCATCATTCTTTGACATGTTCATTGCCACCAAGAAATTTTTTTACCTCTGAAATTTACATGTCATGGTGAAGGGAAAGATGGATGTGGAAAATAGAGAAAGAAGGGCGGAGTTAGGGTTGTGGAGACAAGACAAAGCTGAAAGGGTCAAATGTGTGTGGAAGGAGGGAAGAGCAATGGAAGGCTCAGTTAGTTTGGTGGTTCTTTGTCTAATAATAGGAGAACAATATCACTAGCTACTTGTATTTCATTATTTTTGTTTTTAGCTATGCATACAGGGGTGGTTTTGGTACATTACCGTACCAAAACCTCTCTACCAATTACCATACCAAATATTTGATACGGCAAAATCTATTATCATTACCGTACCAAACTTTCGGTATACTAAATATCAATATACCAAATAGTTTGGTTGTTATGGTATGCCAATGGTAATTGTCACTTTGTTTTACGCCACTTAGTTTGCCCAAAATCTAATATTTTTTAATTAATATAGAGGTGTTAAAAATATAGAAAAAATTTATAAACGCTTGTAATGACAAGCTTTACCACTTTTGTGAGGAGCTTAACTTTGAAATTCGCCATTATAATCATATAAATCATAGATCAAAATTTAATCGTTGATTGTTGTTTACATTTACGTTTCATTTTTTTCATCAAATTTTGTTTTTTTTCAGATTTTCTTTTTTGAAAACATGATCTATTAGAGGATGTACGAAGATGAATGATTTGGATCGTTGATATTATGTTCAAAGTTTTATGGTTAATAAAAATATTGCTTGATGTTTATAAAGTTTCTACAAACTATATGACATCGACTCATATTTCAGTTAACCGTAAATATCGAAACATGATATCAAAGATCTAAACCATTCATCTTCTTACATCCTTCAAATGATCATGTTTTCAAAAAAGAAAATTTTAAAAATGAAATTCAATAAGAAGAATAAAGCGTAAATGACAATCGACGGTTAAATATAAATTTAAGGTTTATGGATTATAGCGTTGGATTTTGAAGCTGACATTTTCATGAAAGTTGTAAAACTTGTCACTATGAGTGAATGTATACTTTTTTTTACATTTTTTACACTTCTACAATAATTATTATTAATTTTATTAATTTTTCCCTCAAATATTTATATGAATAAATACATAATATAATATTAATAATATTGGTAGGTATGGTATACCACCGGTACTGGTTTTGGATACCAGTACCGTATCAAAATAGTATGGTATGGTACAAATACCGTACCATTACCGATTGGTACAAATTTTTGGTAATAATTTGGTATGGTATGATTGGTAAGGCGGTTGGTACGGTAATTTGGTAAAAATTTCCACCCCAGTATAGTTATTTATTTTGGTATTTTAGATATTAAGTTGTTTTTTAACAATTTTGTTTTCTCTTTTTATTTTTACGCTAAATTCATTTATCCTACAAGTATGGAGAGCGGAGGTTTGAGCCCGGGACACCGTAGGTTGAAGAAGAAAGCCTTATTTACAGGGTAATTCACCACTTACAAATAAAGCGTTCTTGTTAATGTTCAATAGATATAATGATAATGTTGCTACTAATATTACGATTTTAATGATAATATTCTTGTTCACTTGCAAAAGCCAAGCCAAAAACTTTCAATGGGATGGGATGTACGTGTTCCGCATATAACGTATGCAATCCTAAACATAACCTTATACGTGTTATTTAAGGCAGTTTTATTGACAATGACGGAGTTAGAAAACTCTAACCTTTTACATTATTGTGCATTATAAAGATACCTTTGTTAAGATAAAGAGCAAATTTTTATTTATACATAAAAAGTTCACCATAAAAAATACAAGTATATGGCAATTTCAAAGAACATTGTCTTTCTGCAAGTAGCTCTTTATCATAATGATGGAAATGTGTTTAATCCTTGTATGACGGCGTGAGTTTGAACTCCATCGGTGACTAATCTAACGTCTAATCTAATAAAATCTATCATTTGACAAAAAAGAACATTGTCTTCCACCCCCAGAAAAATATTTTGCTTTTCAAAAACAAATTTGAGAAATTTCATTCTTATAGTACTAAGAAGCACGAAATCATGAATCCGCACTTCTTGTGCAACTTCTCTCTTGTGCATAAAGACATTTTGTTATGTCAAGAACAGTTTATAAAATTATGAATAAAATTAAAATGTGTCTGAAACTAACAATAAATTACAAAAGTTGATTACAAAAAGCTAATCAGGTGTCATCTTGCGTCAAACTTTGTTAAGTGTGAGAACTACTAAGATCACCAAAATCTAGTGGATGAGTTCAATATTCATGAAAATTCATGTGTGAAATGATGGGAAATTTGGAAATATATCCATTTTGATAACCAACTAATGAATTACAGCCTATACTCTCCAATTGTTATAAAATTAACCAAAATTGGAGTTAAAAAGACTTAATAGCCCTCATGTTATTAAAATTAACCAAAATTGGAAATATAGCCATTTTAACCAAAATTGGAGTTAAAATTAACCAAAACTAACAAAAGACGAAGGCACAGCATCCAATTCTACATCTTTCTCTAATTTTCGGATTTGAGAACTTGGGCTTATTCTCGGAAAAGTTGTGAATTTTCTGGAAAAATAGTTGGGAATTTTTTGGAAAAAATTGGTAGGAAATACAAGTGTTAGGAAGTGAGAAAGCGTCGTGTTGGATTGGATTTGGGAGATTTTTCAGCAAGAAGGAATGATTCTTTCTTCAACCTGATGGAGCATAGAAGACGAACACCAGAGTAAGAGAGAAGAGAGAGTTTTAGATTAAGTGAATTAAGTCTTTTTAACTTCAATTTTGGTTAATTTTATAATAATTAAAAAAGTTTGGCTATATTTCATTATCTGTTTTTCAAAGTGGTTACATTTCTAAATTTCCTGAAATGATCTATTTACAAAACCAAGACATGCTATCTTGCTAATAAGACTTTTTAATCAAAATGGTCCTTAAGATTTGCATAACTACTCACCTTGGTTTCTGAGATTTGAAATAGATAAAATTGGTCCCTGAGTTTGTCCATAATCAATCATTTTGATCATCCGTGAAAAAAAAATCTGTATAAAATAAGAATAAAATGACAAAAATACCATCATTTTGACCTATTGTTTATCAAATTGAGGTTAATTTTGTTATTTTGATCCTTATGTAACATAAGTTTTTACTCAAGGACCAAAATGATTGCTGGTGGACAATCTCAGGGACCACTTCTATTGATTTCAAATCTCAGGGACCAAAATCAAGAATTATACAAATCTCGAAAACCATTTTGACTAAAAATCCTACTAATAATTTAAAAAAAAAAAAAAAAAAAAAAAAAAAAAAGGGTTAAGGGCTCCAACAGCTATAAATAGAAGCTTCTTTGGGTCTCTATTTTTTTATCAGCACGTTTGGTCTCTATTTGGACTCATATTAGTCAATTTCTACACGACATGATCATCTTGAATTGAGTCTTAGTCTCCTAAGTCAACCATGATATATTGATATCTAAGGAGGAAATTGATTAAGGATTTTCATATTGAAGACATACATTATTATTGCCATCGAGAGGATACACTTTGAAATTTATAATCACTGAAAAGAAATCAAGGCTCAATAGGCAATCAAGGGGGAAAATTTGAGAATGAATGCTCTCAACTAGTATACATTATTATTTTCTCCTTCTATATGTACTCGCTCTCAATTTGTGTGTAACTCGTTTTCCTCCAATGTGTAGAGGAAAGTATTTTCACGCACAGAATAATTTTTATTTTATCACAATTTGTTTTTTTTGCAATTTACTTTCTTGCAATTTATTCTCGCAATTTATTTTCTTGCAATAAAAGTATTGTAATTTAATTACTTATTAATTTGATCCATTCAACCGATTCGTATAGGTTGATGCGATTCGTCTTCCCATTCATCTCAACTCACACGTCAATCACTAAATCCATACCACTTTACTTTCATGAATATCAAAGTCCTTGACCTAAAATACGAAGAACCCTCGATCAAGACACATTTATTCCTCAGTCATCTCAAGCGCAACCAAAATCACCAACTTTTCTTTTACTCACTTGGCCTTGGGTTGCGAGTTAGCATGCCCACAACCCAAACTAGAAGGATCAAGAGATCCCGAAATCACCAACAATCTTTCTTTCACAGAGGAAACTTAGAAGTTGGGATAGTGATAGTAGACTTGCGATAATTGAGCAATAAATTTACATCATTTTAGTATAAATAATTAAAAAAAAATTAGAATATTTCAAAGTATTCGTCGTTATAAGATTGCATTTAAGATAAATTCAAATAAAAAATTTGGAATTTTTGGAATCTCCAATTTTCACCTAATCTCTTCGAAAATATTTTGATTCGTAATATTTTTCGATTCAGATTAAAATTTTGGGAAAACTAATGAATAAACCTCAAACTTTTTTTTTTTTTTTTGTATCCCAACCACTAAATGCACTTTTATTAATAATAAAGACAAAAAAACGAAAATGAGAAAAAAATGAGGTGGTGACATTTTCATAAATAAGATGAAATTTGATGGCACCGATTGTTTATACACGATTACGAAAATGCAACCGACTATTTTTTTTTAGCATAAACTGACTCTTTGTTTTTAACTTCAATTTATTTACGATGTTCCCACTAAACTTCAACTCATTTACAAAAACATAACCGCTCTTTTTTGTTTTGTTTTGTATTATTAAATTTCTATTTAAGTGTTTCGATTAATTTTTGTAATTTTAAGGACTTTTAATTAAAGCTTCACTCTTTTTTTAATCTTAAGAGCTTTTCTTTAAAGTTTTTAATTTTAATGAGGGAAAAATTTAGTGACAAGTATCCATCCGCCAACCAAAATGACAGAGAAATAAAACCAATAAACCATACGACGGCGAAAGATCGAAGCGGGTCACATATGATAAAAACCGGCCCGGCCTTAGGATTTCTCCAAATGTTGGGCCAGCCCCCAAAAAGCAAACAACAGGCAGAAGAGAAAAAAAAAAAAGAAAAAAGGATCATGACTCGGAACTCGCAACGTTCACACGACTCGCCGAGTCAACTCGGCCTTCTCTCTCTGTGTTCGACTGTTCTGTGCTGTTGCTTTCTTCTCTACCTCTGCGCTGCCACACGCATACGCCCTCTTTTTCCTCTTTCCCGCTTCGGTGCCCCTTTTCGTCATTTCGCCCCCCCTCCCATCTTCCTCCTCGCGAAATCAGACGGCGCGCCTCTCTCCACGTCACCATCGTCTTCTTCGTCCCCACGGCGACCTCTCCTACGCACACATCTAGATTATAATTTTCATGTAAAATACCATCGAAATTATTAACCTCTTCGTCTTTTAGCTCTCTCTCTATGGCCTTTTAGGGTTTCTCATCTTCCACCCAAACGCAATCTCTCTTCTCTCTCTCTCTCTCTCCTCTCTTTCTCTCGACGAACCTTCGAGTTCTCGCACCTCCGTGCTCTGCTGGTCAATTTCGCCATTGAAGCTCGCCGCAGGTATTCTTTCGTTCGATTCTCAGTCTCTTTAATTTTTAAATTTATTTTTTTTTTATTTAGGGTAAAATTTGGTGTCAGTTATGAATCTTGCTTCGAATTGTGCATTTTTTGTTTGTTTGGTAGTTGCAAATGTTGAGGATTATTTATTTATTTATTTTTATATTAGGGTTTTGATTCGGTGATGGTTTGAAATTTGGGGACTTGGAGGTGGCTTGGTGTGAAACTTGTGAGTCTGTTTGATTTTGGCGGGTTGGGTTTGGGTTGTGTTGGGATTCATGGCAATTGAGAAGAACAACTTCAAGGTTTCGAGGCTTGATTCGGAGTTTTCTCCCAGTAGTAGGAAGAGTATGTCTAGTGATGAGGATGAGCTACAACAGCGTAGCTCTGCTGCGGAATCGGATGACGATGATGAATTTAATGATGCGGACTCGGGAGCGGGGTCTGATGACTTTGATTTGTTGGAATTGGGAGAAACTGGTGTGGAGTTTTGCCAAGTTGGGAACCAGACTTGTAGCATTCCTTTTGAGCTGTATGATCTTCCAAGCCTTGAAGATATATTGTCAGTGGATGTGTGGAATGAGTGCTTGAGTGAGGAGGAGCAGTTTGGCCTCACTAAGTATCTGCCTGATATGGACCAGGAGACCTTTATGATTACCTTGAAAGAGCTTTTTACGGGTTGCAACTTTCATTTTGGGAGCCCTGTTAAGCAGTTGTTCGATATGTTGAAGGGAGGTTTGTGTGAACCAAGAGTTGCTCTTTACCGGGAGGGTTTGAATTTCTTTCAGAAGCGGCAGCACTACAATCTTTTGAGGAAGCATCAGAACAGTATGGTTAGTAATCTCTGTCAAATAAGGGATGCTTGGCTTAATTGCAAGGGATATAGTATTGAGGAGAGGCTCCGGGTGCTGAATATTATGAGAATCCAAAAGAGTTTGATGGGTGAGAAGATAGAGGATATGGAGGCTGACTCATCAGAAAGAGAGTCGGGTGAAGGTTTACGGAGCAACAAAATCAAGGACAGGAAAACTGCACAGAAAATGGCTCGTTATTCTCTATATGGGGTGGATACAAGTGTGGAACTTGCATCAAAAGGGAGGTCGTCAGCTATGGAATTGGCAAAATATGGGAAGCAGAATCCGAAAGGTATACTGAAGTTGGCTGGGTCCAAGACTCCTTCAGCAAAAGAGCTAGCAAACCATTCAGGACCATACAGTTCAGCCGTAGCTCTTCCTCGGCAGCATAAAGCAGTAGGGGATGATGCTGGAGCAGCACTCAGAATAAGGGATCAATTTATAAGTGGTGATGATGTTGAAGACGCAACATATGGATTTGACATTCAGCGAGATAGAAATGTGTCTCGTGGTAGCAGTATGGATAGGTCTGGTGTTTTCAAAGTGGTAAAGAATCATGACCTTTCAAGAGGTGATGAATTAAACACTGACAGTTTGATGCGTCTGCCTCTCTCCTCAAAGGCTGATGTTTATGCCTATGGTAGGAACCGCAGTGCAAACCTTTTGTCAGAGGCAAATGTTTTAACAGCAAAGTCTCCTAACTTGAGAGCTCCCTATGAATTTGGTAAAAAGGCCAAGTATCCAGAAAATATTCATCAATTCACAGTTGGGGAGCAGATGAAGTCCTTGAAAGCCAGATTTCCACAGCCACCGCTCAGAGGAGATCGAGCTGACTTATCAGAACGTGCAGAACCATTCTGGCATAAAAGGACTGAAGGGGATACTTTTTCTATGGATTCTCCCCTAAGAGCGGATGATTGGAATGCTAGGAGCAAGAAATGGAAGTTAGGGAGGGAGTCTCCTGATCTTAATCACAAATCATATAGAGCTTCGCCACCACAGATGAATGCTAGGTTTATATCTTCTGAATTTAGAGCAAAACCATTGCAAGAGAAGATGAGAGATAAGAGAATACAAAATGGAGTATCAGAAATGGCAGCATTGAAAGGTAATAGAATGTTTGTAAAAAATGAAGATACAGAATCAGACTCATCGGAGCAATTTGACGACGATGAGGATAGCAACCCGTTGTTGAGGAGGAAGCTGGCTTATCCCAGTGGTGCTATGGAAACTTCTCCATCTTCTTTGTTGAATCCCACTCTAGAAGCAAAAAGGGCCAAATATGCGAAGAAAGAGGTGAAGGAGAGTTTCCAGGCTCTTGATGGGATCGATTACTCCAGTAAGATGGGTGGTTTTGCTGAACATGGACATATGCGTAATCGAGAGAACTATTCTTCCAAAGCAAAACAAAAGGGTAAGATGCGAGACAATAGTCCCTTGCATAACTCTTCGACTAGAGCTTTCGAAGAGCGTTATATCCCGGGCTTGAGTAAATTTAATGATGAAGGTGATGATTATGATGAACAGAAACAAATCTACAAATTGGGCAAGAATGCCCAATTTCAAGGGGAAGCTGGTGAAAGTTTGCACACACCCTCATGGAAGGTCTACACTGGAAAGCAGAAAAGACAAGTTGGCCATGATCATTCTGTGCCAGAGTCTCGCTATTCTGTTGACGAGGAGGATGATTCGCTTGGAATGCGGTTCCTAGGGAATGGTGGTGGACGGGGTAATATCAGGAAGAAAGATCAGAACATTGAAGAATATGTGAGTGATCGCCATGAAAGAATTGAGGTCCCATTATTGGGGTGCAACATGATGGCAAAGAAGCGGCAAGGGAAGGAGGATGTGTCGGATACTGGTAGAGGTGATGAAGATGGCGACCTCCAGTCTAACCAGAAACGGCTCATTGTTGATTCCAGTTCCTTGAAAAAAAAGGCAAAGAGGAAGCTAGAGAATGAGACTGTTAGTTCAGATGTAGAAATTTCTGAGCAACCAATTACAGAAATGGGAGCAACAGATATGGAGCCGGAAACCAGGCCCCAGAAAAAGCCATTTACTCCAATTACACCTACAGTTCATACTGGTTTCTCATTCTCGATTATACATCTTCTTTCAGCTGTTCGCTTGGCAATGATCACTCCAGTCCCAGAAGGTACTGTTGGGGAATCTGCGGATGAGCCAAACAAAACTCACGAGGGTGCTGTCAATGGGGTTCTTTCTTGTGAAAAGGCAGCTGTCAGTAACTCAGAGCTTGCTGGAGAAATGAATATGCCTTCTCTAACGGTTCAGGAGATTGTGAACCGTGTTAGCTTGAATCCAGGAGATCCTTGTATTCTTGAGACACAAGAGCCACTTCAGGATCTTGTGAGAGGAGTTCTAAGGATCTTTTCATCAAAAACAGCACCTTTAGGAGCAAAGGGTTGGAAGACACTGGTTGCCTTTGAAAAAGCTACAAAAAGCTGGTCGTGGACTGGTCCAGTTTCTCAGAGTTCATCAGATCACGACGCCAACGAGGAGGTGATATTTCCTGAAGCATGGGGTCTTCCGCACAAAATGCTTGTCAAGCTGGTGGATTCGTTTGCAAATTGGCTCAAATGTGGGCAAGATACCATTCAACAAATTGGAATTCTTCCGGCACCGCCCTTGGAGTTGATGCAGCTCAACCTGGATGAGAAAGAAAGGTTCAGGGATTTAAGAGCTCAAAAGAGTCTTAACACTATTAGCCCAAGTTCCGAAATAGTGAGGGCTTATTTCCGTAAGGAGGAGGTTCTCAGGTATTCAATTCCAGACAGGGCCTTCTCTTACACAGCAGCAGATGGTAAAAAATCCATTGTTGCCCCATTGAGAAGGTGCGGTGGTAAGCCAACATCAAAAGCCCGAGATCACTTTATGTTGAAACGTGATCGACCACCGCATGTTACAATTCTTTGTCTTGTGAGAGATGCAGCTGCAAGGTTGCCTGGAAGTATTGGCACCAGAGCAGATGTTTGCACTTTGATAAGAGATTCTCAATACATTGTTGAAGATGTGTCTGATGCACAAGTTAATCAAGTTGTTAGTGGAGCCTTGGATCGGTTGCATTATGAGCGTGATCCATGTGTGCAATTTGATGGGGAAAGGAAATTATGGGTCTATTTACATAGAGAAAGAGAAGAAGAAGATTTTGAGGATGATGGTACTTCATCTACAAAGAAATGGAAGAGGCAGAAAAAGGATGCTGGCGATCTACCTGACCAAGGAGCAGTGACTGTAGCTTATCATGGGACTGAGGAACAAACTGGGTATGAGATGTGCTCCGATCTCAATGTTGAGCCATCATGTTTGGATGATATGCAACAAGATGTGGAGGATAATACTGATACCAATAACGGGTCTGAACAAGATGAAATGCGCCAAGGCAATCCAATGCTTTGGGAGGGTCATGGCTTGAATCCAATGTGTGAAAACAAATTGCTGTGTCAGGAAAATTCCACAAATGAAGATTTTGATGATGAAACGTTTGGGAGAGAAAGGACAGTTGGGCTCTTGAGTGCAAGCTTATTGTGAGGTTATATTGAGGTAGTTTTCGGTGGCATTTTGCATTATCCCAAATGATATTCTCTTCTTTGTGTTAGTGTTGGCAAGTTACTCTTTTGAATTGAAATTGTATTCATGCTATTAATATGATTCATGAAAGCTGTAGTTCATAGAACCAATGTTAGGTATCCGTTACACGAAGAAATGTCAGATATAGTATAGTTGTGACAAGGAGAAGTAACTAGTTACGTTTAATCAACTGTACTTTGCCATCCATCATGTGGGGTTCTGACGAAGAACATTGATATGTTTTGCAGGCATAGCACTCCACCTTCCCATCAGATCGCATTTTTGTTCCCGGTCAAGGAGCGTGTCATACATTGAAGGTGCAGTATTTTTGCATATAGTATTGATTCTATCACGAAAATGTAGGTTAGAAATTTAGTCTTGTTCGAGGCTCATGAGTTGGTACGGGTGGGTGGATATATAAATATATCTATATCTATATAATTCTGCCTTTCCATAAATAAATTTTTTGTCTTTATATATTTAGATCTTGAAGAAGAAGAAGAAGCAAAAAAATGTAGTTGATAGTTGATGGTGGTGTACATTAAGTGAGCAAAAATGGCCAATTCCATGTTTGGTTTTTTTTTACATCTGGTTTAGAGTTAATTGCAAGGATCTTGATGAGTTGTTTTCTTTGACAAAAAGAAAAGAAACATTTACACCACGAAAAACAATATTTAAGATGGTGTAGTTCTAATTGATGGTTTAATAACATAACATTCGAGAAATGACTAAATAGAATGTGGTCTTAGTATCTGCGATCTATATAGGTTTTCGGCATGTGTCTCTGTAATGTCACATCATAAGTAAAACATTACTACAATATTTGTTGAGTGAGAGCACGTAACAATCTCATTTTTTACAAGAAATTGTTAAGTCACAGTTTTTAATCAATTTTGCCAAATGCAACAATAACCTTCCTAAAACCTCTTTTAATCAAAATTGATTTTTCTTCCCCGCTTAATACTATGATCAGATGATATTTCGTCTTCTAGCTGAGAGGTCTTAGTTGAAATATCAGGAATAATGAATTCGATACCAATTTATTTCCTTACTCGTAGTGTATAAAATATATTGTTCAAATAAAAAAAAATATAGATTTTTGTTCATCGCGTATTGACCGAAAATCACTTTTGGTTAAAGTGGATTTCAATTTGCGCTTGATTTTGTTAGCAATTTATGGATCATTTTGAATAATTTCTCTAAAATTGAATCCCAGAGTAATTTGTTTGAAGTTAGAAAATATATTATTTTCAATACTAGACGAGTTCAATGAGAAGAAACTTTAGCACGTGGTTGTGGTATACTAACCTTAATTGGAGGAATTATTTTTATTATCTTAGTTGGATTATCAAGTCACATATCATTTGTCTCCAATGATTTGATTATAAATGAATTTGGATACGGAATTAGGTTGATCCAATCCGTTTACAAGTTGGATATGGGTGGGATCAGTTCTGTAACCCAATCGATCTCCCAAAACATAATACCACCGAACTAATTTTCATATTTGGTTCGGTTGAACAGTTGTTTCTTAGTTCAAATAGCAAACGGTTCAATGGTTTGATGGTCGGTTTTATGAAATTATTGAAAATTTGGTTTGATTACGTTCGGAGTTGTTCTGGTTTGGTTGGTTTCTTGGTTCACACATCTTTTTTTACCTTCCACACATCTTTGTTAATTTTTTACCATTAGTCTTCTTTAATCAAATCCAACGACCGAAAATTGAGAGAGGTGTGTAAGAAATACAAACGGGTGTGGATAGGACCACCCTTAAATTAAGGTAATGAAAATGTAGAGATAATTTCTTTTGATTTATTAATTGTGTAGTAATACTATCTAATACAACTATATCGGAAAGCTAAGTTATACCATGGGTCAACCATAACGGATTCAAAATTCTTACCTCGTGGTCCTAGTGTTAAACAAAAACATCTCTCTCAATAGGACGAGGGGACGAACACATTGCGGTGGATAACTTGCCGACAGTCGTTTTGGAAGCCAATAGAATCCTCAATACTCCTCCGTTAATAGCTATGTTAAGATTTGATGATATGAGGAAAAGTTTGTCCTATATTGGTGAGGGACATGCCTTGCTATGGGTTTTTATGGTCTTGGGTTACTATTCATATTGCCAATTGGTTTTATGGTAGAATCTCAATTTTATTATGGTATCATAGCAGATTGTCTCTCATGTGAAAGCCTAGGGGTCACACGTGCTCACGCGTCACTCAGTTATTGTCCACATCGATGAGGGACATGCCTTGCGGGTTTATATGGTCTTGAGTTACTCTTTATATTGCCAATTGGTTTTATGGTGGAATGTCAATTTCATCAATCTATTTATGTTTGACATGAATTATGGTTTGCAAAGAAGCAGCTTCCTAAACACTCAAAAAACAATCAACTCCTCATCAAAAATCCAATTGCAGTTTGTTACAGAAGAGGGAAATTCAACGAACTCGAATTTTGAAGTTCCCCAAGAACCCTACATACTAAATCGAATTCTCCATCCACAAGAAACAATCAACGAATAAGAGTTGCATAGTGCAGTGACTAAATAGTACATATATATATGCCATATACGTTATGTACACACGTTTTTCTGACCGCTAAATGCTCGGTCCCCCTCTCTTTAGTTAATAGCAGTGAGAGGAACTCTGGAGTCTCTAATGGATTGAGCAGCCTCGTACGCCCCTGTGACGTGTTTTAGGTCTCCATTTGCTTGCTGTTTCGCCGATCTTTCATCCCAGAATAACCTCAACAATTCCTCAAAAGCTGGAGTCCTGAGTTCTTCAATGGATGCAACGCTTGGAAGATTGAATGACCTCTTTCTTGGCGTGGAACATGATGGTTCGTCCACCTGCTTGTTGCAGAGGTTGAAAATATCGTTAAACACAGCGTTATTAAAAATGTAACTCTACTTAGAATTAGTTTTTCGGAAAATTTCATCCATAAGAGATTTTCAGAACAGTTACTGCACTCTTAACAATCTTACCACGTATTCATCCAGAAGAAATTTTCCTGCATTTTCGGTGATTTCAACAATATTGTGGTAGTGACCTCCCTTTAGTTCTCTCAGATCCCCGCAACATGGAACAATCATTGAATTTAGATTTCCACATGCCTCGTGGTCAAGTTGTAATGAATCTGCAAATATTTGTTTCAGTAACTGTAGTCCAACATGTAACTACGAAGACAAATGTAAACTTAAAATGTGAAATTGGATACTGACGATCTATGGAGGAAAGGAGACTCTTGTCTGCGATGTCTACATCTTCTAGTGCAGCTGACACAGACGAGGAGAACCTATCGCGTAAGGTTTGATTGACTTCCGTTCCCCTCCTAGTTGAAGAGAAAATAAATGAATAAACTTTCAATTGAGACCCACAGTATTTCTCTTATATAAGGAATGCGCTTGAAGTATTAAAAGCATACCTAACAATGGAGTCCACAGAAGCAACATTTCGCTTTTCTAGATTGAGCAAGGACTCCTGAGCTTTCTTCCACTGTTCTGCACCCACTGATGCCTGCTTCAAACTGCACATTTTCGTACGGTGTAAGTAATGGGCTAGAAAAATTCAAGTAGCAGAATCATGCCCAAATCGGTATAAATTCTTATATCCAGAGACTCCAGAATATATGTACCAATTCTGCAGAACCTCCTCCATGTCTTTCTTTCCACATTCCACAGCCGTTGTGTCTTCAAGGTAATGGGATTCTGTTTTTTCCATGTGAAATGTCCATTTGGTTTTGATAGACGAAGTTGAATCTTGCATGGTTGACATTTCTTTCTGTATTTTGTTGGTTCTGCTTGTTGCACTCTCTCGAAGATCATTTACAGCAGTTTGTACCTAAAAATACATAAAGATTGTTATCAAGAAAAACCTAAATAAAAAGTCGTTGCTGAATTCTACCATAAAACCTCAAGAAAAAGGCATAAGGAAATGGTAGCAGCCTATGAACAACCATACCAGTTTTTTCTTCCTGGCATTTGAACTTGCCAGCAGCTCTGCCACTTTCTCTAGTAATTGCCTTTCTTCATTAGCAGCACACTCCTACATAGAGATAAAAAATACAAGCATTTAATTTGACAAATGAGGTTGTTCTACGGCTCATTCAGTTTAATAAGTGCATTGCAACCACCTCAAACTTCTCTTCAAGTTCAGACAATTTCTTGTCGTTGACAGTTTGTGCTTCTTCCACAATTTGGGTCAGATTGGATGCATGCAAGTCTAGAGTTTTGAAAAAGTCCACAGTAACTTTAGAAACTGAACGTGCAGTTTCGACTGCTCTGGCATGAGCCTATACAAATCACAGAATTTTTAAGCCAAAACTGATGATTGAATTTTACTGTAAAGGAAATAAATCATCCATGAAACCAACAATATCTTACGTACCTCACGCTGTTGTTGTGCAAATGCATTTAGCTTTTCCTCTTGGTTGTGAAGATTACCTTGAAGATCATTGAGCAATGCATCAGCTTCTGAAGCAATTCCTTTGAAGAGCTGAATCATTTGAAGAAAGTCAAATACAGAAAAACAAAGAAATCTGAAGACAAAATATATAGTGAACTAATGCTTACATCTTCCAGAGCAGAAGAATGGTTAGAAACTTCAGAGTTTAGATGAGAAAACGTTGATTGCGAATTTCCTTCAAGATCCCCAGCTATACCATCTAGAGCTTTAATACCAGAACCATACATGTTTTTAAGCTTTCCTAATCTTCCTCGTAGTTCTTCAGTAGCCTTCAAAATTAAGCCAAATAATGAAGTTGTATATATAGATTAGACTGACAACTCGATCTCAGGAATGCATGCAAGGACAAACATCTTCTTCTCTAGACCTTACCTCCGCCTTTGTTGATACAAAGGACTGCATGTCCTCTTCCATGTCTTTTAATTGCTGCTCCTGCTGTGTCACTGCAACTGCCACAGTCTTATGCAAGACTTCAAGCTGCTGGGTTAATTGGGACTGAAATTTCTGGACTAGTATCCGGTTTCCATCTTCAATTTTGTCCTTACGCTCTACAAAACCAGCCATGGTCAGTAAATAAATAACCCGAAGTTTTGAGGGAGATCAAAGAACAACATACAAAATAATAATACAAACCAATTTTGGCAAATAAACTGGACACATCTGATGCAGCATTCTCTAGCTCTGCTCGCAGCTCAAATGCACGCCCTACGAGTGATTTCTCTGAAAGTTAACAATGGAATAATAGTGAGAAAAAGGCATTTAAATGTACCGTCCAACATAAAATTTAATATATGCATAAAATTGAACATGAACTAGTGTAGAATAAGCCCGAATGTCGACTGTATAACTTTAACATAAGATGAAAAGGAGAGAATCCATCTATGGTCTGAAAACGCAGATGGTGACACGACGATTTGTTTTAGCAGACAACTTTGCTCACCCGATTTGAGGAGATTCACTATCAGAAATTCCTTCTCTTTGATGGTCGCATTTGCTTGTCGATGCTTGTCCTCAAGATCATACAGCGCATGTCCGGTTTCCTCAAGCTTTGTCTGAAGTATAAAGTGTTTAATTATCTCAGAACGGGAGCAGAAAGAACAAAAGGAGACT